AAAAGAACTGATAGGAGCTCTTAGGATCTTTAGTAAGCGTTTTTTAAATGGAAAACTGGCTTGGCCTTGCTGCTGGAGGGCAGAGCATGGTGGAGTCTCAGGGGCACGTGTACAAGTTGTGCTGTTCCACAGGCGGCGTGAGGAAGGGCAGATGTCTGGGAATCTCTAAGGGATGATGGGATGAAATGGCTGGCTGGCTGTCCCACTGGAGAACAGATTCAATTCCCTTTGTGTACACCGTGCTGTCAGTGAGAACTTCACAGGTTCAAAATCACTGTCACAAGCTGGGAAAATAAAATAAGGCTAAAACTTGTGGTCTCCTGCTGCCTCCTCCCAGGGGAGGAAGAGGGAAGAGATGGCAGGTCTATTTTGGCATTTTCCAGCTGGAGGGAGAGCTCCAGTGGCGCAATGTGGGGAGTGCTTTGGTCCTGTGAGCGGAATTGTCAGGAATCCAAAATAGGATGTGTGTGGCAATCTTGGGTGGCTTCCAAATGAGGCAGGTCAGCACTCCAAAGGTTCCACCTACGGAGTAAAGTTGTGGCATCTGTCAAATGCTGGAACTGGATTTTGGTTGAGTGAGTGGTGAGAGTGCAGAAACCAAATTTAGCATTTGCTGTTGATGATATCATTGTAATTGTGTCGATTTTTTTTTTTCTCCACTCCAAGCAGCCTGCAAGGCCCAAAACTGAAGGACAGATTTTCTCAGGTATTTCAAAAGTAATTGTTTGGATTTGGAGAGAAACCACATGGATTGATGGAAGGTCAGACAGCTTGTGAAAGACTGCTTCAAAGGAGAAGGAAGAGGAAAAAGAGTCAGAGTTGCATCTGAATTGCTGGCAAATGGCAAAAAAACCCAAACCCAAACATACCAAAATGTGAGGGAGAGGGTGCAGGGGGAGCACTAGGAAAGGGGACAAGTGGCAAGTGAGGGAGAATCCACAAAGTTCAACTCCTGGCCCTGCACAGACACCCCAGCAATCCCACCCTGTCCCTCAGAGCGTTGTCCAAACCCTCCTGCAGCTCTGGCAGCCTTGGGGCTGTGCCCACTGCCCTGGGGAGCCTGTTCAGTGCCAACCACCCTCTGGGGGAAGAACCTTTCCCTGAGATCCAACCTGAGCCTGCCCTGACACAGCTCCTTGAGTCCCTTGGAGCTGCTGCCTGGGGGTTAGTCCAGAACTAGCCCCAAGAGTCCATCTGTCCAAGGTGCTTCCTCTCCTTTGACCTGTTGGGTTGGAAATAAAGGCATGTTGGTGGAAGTAAAAAGGTTTTCTAGTGCAAATAAAGGTATCTTAGTGGAAGTAAAGGGCATTTTAGTGGGAATGAAGGTATTTCAGTGGGAATAAAGATATTTCAGTGGGAATGAAGGCATTTTAATGGGGAGAAAAAAAAGGCATTTTCGTGGGAATAAAGATATTTTAGTGGGAAGAAAGTTATCTTAGAGCAAATAAAGACATTTTAGAGGGAACAAAGGTATCTTCATGGGAATAAAGGCATTTTAGTGGGAATAAAAATGTTTTAGTGTGAATAAAGTTATCAGTGCAAATAAAGGCATTTTGGTGGGAATAAAGATATTTTAGGGGGAGTAAAGGTATTTTAGTGGGAATAAAGTTATCTTAGGGGGAATAAAAATATTTTAGTGTGAATAAAGGTATCAGTGCAAATAAAGGCATTTTGGTGGGAATAAAGATATTTTAGGGGGAGTAAAGGTATTTTAGTGGGAATAAAGTTATCTTAGGGGGGAAAAGGCATCTTAGTGGAAATAGAGG